CACTTGGGATGATCGGGACATTCAAGTGTTAATCCGTCAGCTTTTATTTCTTTCCGATATCGCGCGATTCTATATAATGATATTTTTAGCATCTCTACTCAATGGAGATATCACAGGGAAAAGCCGATTCAAGCCTTTTGCAAAGGCATTAAATTTAATATTATCTATGTACATAGATTACATTTGTTTGTGCTTGAAATGATCACTTTTACACAGACGTCATGATTCGCTGACTCAAGGATCCAACAATTCATGTTTTGCGACGAATGTATTAAATAATTTATTACTTTCTTTTTTTTTCTTTGAATTTTTTTTTTTTTTTGGTGGGAGGATAAAAATGTTAAAAGCGGTTTCCACGCAGTTGATCACATGGGATCAATCGGTCTGCTTGCGTGAGTGACGTCATACATTTTGAACGTTCGAAATTGAACGCAAGATGCAACGGAAAGCCATCAGGTCATGTTGACCGAGAGGAAATTTATTTCAGTAAAGCTACACATGGGAATATGTCTACACGGACAACGGACATAATTGCAGACACGTTGCGCTCGCACAAATGCACACAACTGCTTGCACAGATGCACACACCAGCAACCATTGCGCGTAGGAGCACCTAGGTCCAGGTAAATGTACACCCACGCTCGTTAAAATGCTCACAATCGTTAATAAATATATGCCCACGTACAGATGTACGCACATGCTCCCACATAGACGCACACACACGCAATGTCGTACGTATACATAATCTCACCTACATATATGCACATTAATTTGCATACACATGTATGCGCGCGCATACACAAACAAATATTTGTGTTTGTACGTGTGTGTTTTAAACAATAAAAAATATTGAGAAATTAAAAAAAAAAAATTTCAGACACACTGGTTTGTTTAGTAATATTTTTTGTTTCATCATTTCAATTAGATTCCTCGACATGTTTCGGCCAGCATTGACATCATCAGAAGGAAAAAAATCTGCTTGTTAGTAGCATTGAACTAGCGTAATGAATGACTTTCTGAACAAAATGTACTTCACCTATAATTTTCATTTGTTTTTTTAATCGTTAATTTTGGTCAGCACTTGTTTTGGTCAAACGACCTCTTTTAAGTTGTTTTTTTAAGATAGATGCTGGATAGATTCCTTCTACTCTGAATTCCCTTCGTCAGTTTGACAGTTTTATCGGTTCCTGGGAAGGTGATGTGTATGTGTTAAGTGCATGTTATCATTTAGTTCTTCGGGAGTGTGTATGATGTGTGTAAGTGTATATATCATTATGGGTGTGTGCATAAGTGTGAGACCTCAATACCTCTGCAAGCATGTCTGTCTTGTGTGGGTGAGAAATGTGGGTAGGGCTTGATTTATGGGGTTATATATTAATTCTATCTATGTTGTTAAAATTGTGATTAAGACCGTCTGGGTGGAATGTTTTGCAGGGTATTTGCTATCGATACGACCCTAATGGTTATGGGAATTATGATGGCGATCGTTAATAGATATGTAGATTAATGTACTTGCTTGATTTGGTTTGGTTTGGCTTGTGTTGTTTTAGTCATATCAACCACAATGGGTTATTTAATGCCGACTATTTTTATTGGTGGTGATATTTTTCTTCATAAATGTATTGCTGTTAATTTTTTTCCCATCAAAAAAGTATTTCTGGTAATATTTTTTCTTCAGAAATATATCACTGGTAATTTTTTTTTTTCAAAAATATTTGTTTTGTTTTGTTTTATGGCATATGTGTGTTTTAAAATATGCGTCCTCCGAAAGGAATCGAACCTGAATTCTATACAGAACCGTCATACATGCCAACACAATACTCCCATAAAAACAAAATAATACACTCAATGGATTATTTAATGCCGACAAAATTTTTATTGTCAGTAATAGTTTTTTTCAAAAATGATTTGCTGTTAATAATATATTGCTGGTAATAATTTTTTTACAAAGTATTTCTGGTATTAAAACCTATTTTTATATTTTCATAGTGTTTTGACCCCAGTTTGGAGTCAACTATTTGCCCTAACAGGTGCTACCTCCCCGGGTCAGGGTAGACTTAGGAACACCAGCAATTAAGAGGAGCCTCCATGCTTCTCGAGCTTGATCTGGTCGTCTCCATTTTGTAGCTCGCATTTTCTACTACCTACTTACACTCTGTCTTCTTACAATTGATAGTTAGTCCTTTCTTAGCGCCTTTCTTTTCTACGTTTTCTCAGAGTTATTGCAGTTGTTTTTCTGTCTTTCAACAACACAATATCGCCTTCGCATTTAATGCTTCTAACATCTTGCCTTCGTATACGGTGTTCTTATTTATTCGGGGCGTGAGATGACTTTTTATCTCTGAAATGTTGCACTAAATATTAATACGTTGACCGCCAATGGTCACTTATTAAATCTGGCTACATATTTAGTATATTGCTGCTCAGCTCAAATAAGGCGACAAACACTAAAAATATGAAGTGGACAAAGTCCGACAATTATTTTAAGAGATTTTCTATGTTTATACGTTCTTTTTATAGATACAAATATTTAAGTAAAAGCTCTGTTTATAATAAACAGTATTAACGACATTTACCGGTCTAAATGTCGGAACAGTTTACATAGAAAATATGCGTCATCCGAATGTACGAGAGAAAATCATGGAGAATTGTAGTTTAAAAACAGTAAAATCAACCTTGCTAACCGAATTGCTCCTCTATGGCTCAATCGGTAAATGCACGTCAGGCTGTATGACGGTTCTGTATAGGATTCAGGTTCGATTCCTTTCGGAGGACGCATATTTTCTATGAAAATTTCTCGGGCATTCAGGCCGGTAAATGTCGTTAATACTGTTTATTATAAACGGAGCATTTACTTAAATATTTTTATCTATAAAATGAACGTATAAACATAAAAAATGTCTTAAAATATATAAAAAAAACTTTATTGTTCGAGTTGTGGCGAATGGGTAGAGTGAGGGAGAATCACAGAGTTTAGGATTGCACACACAGGGATCGACGGAGACAAAAATTCGGTGAACCTCTATCCAGCCTTTCTGTCCAGAACAAGAATCGGACCGGTTGTATATCATTTGGATATACGCAAATTCACGTGGTTTCCCCTTCTCCCGGTATGTTGCCTACGCAACTTCGTGTGACCACGCCTCTTCCGGCATGCGACCACATAAGCATGCCTTTCTTTCCGCTCAGAACACCTGTGCAACATGTATATTCAAGGTTCAGGACACCTGTACGTCCAGTTTATTTTAGCCACCGGTTGCATTTCCAGTTTATGCTATCGCCAGTTCCGATTTTCGCTTACGCGCTGATGCAGCGGAAGTAAGGCCAAGGGTATTTCCTCAACCTATATCCAAAACAAACGCAAACTTTATAATAGCCGTCTGAGGCAATAAAAACTTGTTTTTATTCATAACTTCGCTGAACAAACTTGTTGTTGGCACACTCAGATCAAAACGTAGTGATTTACTAAGCATAGCTTAACTGTGGCACTAAGTCACTAGTACGAAGCACCGAGCGCGGATCGAAACCCACTACTCAGTAGTAATTGATCTAGCGAGACAAGTTTACTAAACGCAACACAACACACTACGCTAAATAAAAAACAATACAATTTTGCTTTATGAACGACGGTAATAAAAAGAAATCGAACAATTTAAACAGTCTTCTGATCGCAAACACCATCAGACACACCATGATTTGTGTTGTCTGTTAGCAGCCATTTTATTTCCTTCTTTAGCTTATATATATATGAACTATATTTACAATTACTCGCATTAAAGACATGTTGTTTCCATTATCTTTGGTAGATTGATTTCTTTTTTTATGGTTGAAGCCGAAACTTATTTTGGCATTGTAAGAATAATTCTTTTGTTTTGAAAGTGAATTAAGAATTTCTTTTTTTTGAGTCTAAACAATAATTTTCTTTTTACAAGTATTTAACCTCATGGGCATTTGCGCGGAAGTGAAAGCAACGGACACGGCTCTATCATTCCGAACTGCTATTCATTAGACCATCTCTATATCTAAAAACTTAAAAGGTGATAATATTTTCCATGGATATACGAAAAGGTTCTAAAAGCCTAATACAAAACAGGATGCTTTAGCGGTAGGACGTGTCTCGTTCCCCACTGTCAATGTATTTATGTATAAACTTGGAAGGTAATTAGAAGAATTAAATCAACAGTTCAATTTTATGCAAAATGACAAAATATTGATTTTAAATTGTTGCAAAATTATTTTCACCTAGTTACAGTAAAGTCAATAATTTATAGCAGCTTCAATCACTTAGATGGATTCATTCAATTACGGTGGAGTAATGGATAGCGGTTCGGATTGAGGATCGGAGAGCCGAGTTCGAATTCCAGTCGAATCCATTACATTCACTTACGTACTAATACCCTTGGGAAAGGTATTAATCCTCTTCTTCTCCCCCAGCTATACGGGGGGTGGTGAAGAAGAAAAGGATTCAGATAGCAGGACAGACCAGGCTCTATAGCCTTGGATGTCAACTGGTCTACCGCAGAAAGAAATGGCGGGAAAGAAAATCTGGCTTGTCTGTCATCTATCGAAAGATACATGGTCGCCTAAGCGTATATCACGCATGGCATATAACTGATTTCAGTCATTTTGGATAGTCTGCGAAAAGATTTGTGGAATTTTCCCTGGACAGTTTACTTTAGCTCCGTCTTTGCTTTACTGTTCCGGCGGAGACAGGTTTGTTGGTGACCTTTGATAGGCAGCAATTTTCAGATCTCTCCAGAAGTTTTCTATGGGATTCAGATTTGGACTTCTGAAACTTTTTCTTTATTTTTCCAGATCCATTCTTCAATAGATGATTGTTCTGCTGAAATGTGAACTTCGTCTGAAGCATCTGGTTTCTCGCTGAATTCAAGAGATCTTTTAGAATACTGTGTACCTGGCACACTTCAGAGAACATAGCTCATCTACAAGCTCCTCATGAGTAGAGTTAGGGAAATCTATAATAATATGATACGGCACCCATGATTCGCAACAGGTATAGTAGGTATCGGATAATCAGTTTTTATTGGGTCTGTGTCAAACAAACTTGAACGCCTAATACTGCATCAGATGTCTTAGACTCTAAGGCATCCGATGCAGTATTAGGCGTTTGGCCGCAAACAACACATAGCGGAGAAGGAATCTGTGTATCTCCAGTCTAGTGAAATCCAAATTTCAAATAATCATCACTATACAACCGGTGAACTTTTGGTTTTTTAAATAACATTGTAGAATTATTCTTGTCACCATCGCCTTTTCTTTTCAGAAACTTGTCCATGATTGAGGGTAAATTGAATCTAAAATTGAAAAAAATAAATCTAAAAGAATTTTTATTATATTTGTTTTTGTTTGTCTTACTAAAACTTTAATTTACAACGCCTAAATATTTAATACAAAGAATCTGTAAATATTGTGAATGAGATATATAGACGATATAAACTGGTGATAAAATAATACCTAAATTTTTCATGATTCCGATTCCTAACCAATATTACTTAAATGTAATTGAGCGGTATCATCATGATTAAGAAATGGAATGTCTTTAATAAACAAAATGGAATTAAATGGCTTCTAGGTATTATCTCTTCGCGGCACACCAGTAATCATTCCGTGGCACACGAATGTGCCGCGGCACAGTGGTTGGGAACCACTGCCTTAGAAGTTGGACGTATCACGTTCAAGCTAAAATGTTCTTCAGTAGCCAGTGAGCCTCGTATTCAACACAAAAAAAACGAGTACATAGGACAAAATACTCCAGGCTTAATTACATAAAAAGCTTATTTAATAATTCCATCAAATCCATAGAAAAGGAATTTCATAAGACTGTGCTTGGTGGGAAGAAGCTGCCCGGACGGAACTAAAATCTCAGCAGAGGACTACGAAAATACCCATCTCCTTTCACATAACCGTGTTCTTTCCATTTAGCTAAGGCAATAAAATATGTTGTTAATAATACGTAATATTTCATATATATATATATATATATATATATATATATATATATATATATATATATATTTTAAGTTACGAAGAACTTGGTAAACCGAATGGGTAATTCCAAGGAGGATGAAATCCTGAGAGCTCAGTGTGAATACAGAGCTAATATTTAATGAAAAACAGACCACTTTAAGGTACCATTACGATAATTTATTTCACCAAAATCCTTTTTAAAGGACTCCGGATCATCAGGTAACGATTCCAACAATGAAATGAAAGGAAAAAAAATATATATAAATATATATATATAAGAAATATAGTCTTAAGGCGTGCTATATTTATGGGATAAAGTGCTCAATATCAGAGATAGAGCGTGTGTAAATATAAAAGTGAGCATTGAAGTCAACAGACTGTCCCCTCTAAGTGTTAACTTCAATGTTCACTTATATATATATATATATATATATATATATATATATAAAGTGAACTTCTAGCGTCTTGTATGCACGTGTTTATCGTTGCTTGGAAATCATCCATGTAAACAAAAACTGACTATCATCATTGTCTTGCCCGTATATTGCTTAATATATTGTACAGCAATTGACATCGTTCATCATGGCTTATGTAAGCCGAAAGCTTAGATTGGATTAAAAAATATGGATCAATATTGGGTTTTTTTTCTTCGTTTAATGATAATGTTATTCAGCTTATCAGACATTATGAAAAGAATTTACATAAAATAAATAGACAACACTTGTTTATATTATTTAATGAAACATGTATATATATATATATATTCTTTCGACGAAACTCTAATGTCTGCACTGTTCTATTAAGGTATATTTCTCAGTACTTTTGATCAAAGCGGCTTATACGTTCTTTAGCCAAATTGCTGAAATTATTTCACTCCTGTTTTATTTCGGAAAATGATCGCACAGAATATTATTATTATTTGTCTTAAATGAAGACAGCAAATGGTGAATGCTTTGATATTGTTGTAGTGTTTTAATATCGATGTTAGACGAATCGATTATATTATAATGTCGTCTATAATTATTCTTGCTACATCATTGGACACTTCAATTTGGGTAAACTTAAAAAAAAGCAACAACATTAGTATAATAATGTCTCGTTATTTTAATCGATATCTCTCTACAAATCTTGAATCCCACCACAGATACTGGTCTATGACTATACGAATACACACAAACACATAGAGACGCACACACACACACACACACACACACACACACACACACACACACACACACACACACACACACATCTCTCTCTCTCTCTATATATATATATATATATATATATATATATATATATATGTATGTATTCGTATTTCTACGTGCTATATTCTATGTAGGTGACATACCTATGGTTAGTTTTCTGTGAACATTGTCGGCTTTCTGTTTATTTAATACTTAAAAATAAATTGATTTGCCTCTTTTCATTTCCTTGACAATTTGTTTATCGCCGCCAAGGGAAATTAAACTTGATCAACATTTTAGCGAATTCTGTTCCAGACACGTCTGACACATTGCTTTGGTAAATACACACTAACTACTCAATCCCTAAAAACTGAAATACGGACTTGCATGAAAGAGGATCGGATCGACGCAGGTACCTAAAAGTTATAACAAATACTCGCGAGTAAAAAAAAAAAAAAAGAAAAGAAAAAAAAATTGCTTGCGATCTTACAGAAGCATACCTACGCGGAGGTAGCCAAATTTATAGGGTGCTATGGATAAATTGTCGTCTAAATTACGGTACAATGAAAATAAAATTGACATCTCATTTTAAGAGATATATTTACCAAAATTACACGCAAAAAAAACTCCAGACGACTTCCGAAACTTTTGAAACACTTCTGGGTGTTCATCTTATTGTAGTTGAAGAATGTTGACATAATCTTTGCCTTCAGAAAACCTTTGGTGTTACAAGGAGTTTTGTTAAATTGTGCCTTACACATAATAATCAAGTGAATTGCAGTCTGGGAAGTTAGCTGACCAAATTTACGGGGTGATGTGGTTTCAGAATTGTTATGAAAGCCATGACTATGTTCTCCTGCTTGAGTGCCATGGTTTAGTCCTGTTGCCAGACATAGGCTTTCCAGAAGCCACTCTCTAAAAACCAGGACAGTAATACCATTTCAAGGCACTTGATGTAGACCCCCGTGTTGAGTCTGAGTTCAGTTCTTTTCTCATCAGATCGATCGAAGTTTAGTCTTCCGACCTGTCTGACATTCGTGTTGAACATTAAACTCATCCAATTCTTTCAGAATTCTCTGCACTCTCAGATGGTATTTATCAATCCACCCACGGGGATCGAATGTGACACAAAGCCTTTTTAATGTGGGTATGTCTGAGCCCGTAGGCCCAGCCAAAAATAAATAACCATTCAAACCCGCCGAGGCGGGCCAGTTCCGTCAACTTCCCCCAACGAAACCCTACCCTTCGGCGGAGCTTCGTCCGGGTTCCTCTCTGCAAGCAAAGAGTTCGACAGACACCCGACCCGGCCTCTCACAAAGCACAGATACTACACTTTCATCCTAGCCACCGGGCCGAGCGGGTATTCTTTTTAGAGATGGTATTTATCAATCCACCCACGGGGATCGAATGTGGCACAAGGCCTTTTTAGTGTGGGTAACTCTGAGCTATGTCTGAGCCCGTAGGCCCAGCCAAAAATAAATAACCATCAAAAACCCGCTGAGGCGGGCCAGTTCCGTCAACCTCCCCAACGAAACCCCTACCCTTCGGCGGAGCTTCGTCCGGGTTCCTCTCTGCAAGCAGAGAGTTCGATAGACACCGACCCGGCAGCTCACAAAGCGCAGATACTACACTTTGATCCTAGCCACCGGGCCGAGCGGTTATTCTTTTTATTCTTTTTTCTTTTCTTTTTTTTCTCTGCACTCTCAGATTGATACCAAAACATTCTGAAATGCTAGTATTGGAGATTTCGACAAGCAGTACATCATGTTGTTCCCAAATTTCTTTGGGGGTGAATTGCGTCCTTTTTTTTCACAGACGGCGCCCAACTGACTCTACTATAATGTACATTCGATAAAATCAGAAACAAGCAACAGAAAGCACGTAGTAAAAAAAAATAAAATGGCGACAATTTACTCATCGCATCATGTACCCACTCAGAGATATATACAAACACATGGCATCCATTCGAAATAGATTCTACACTATAGTTTTTCGACACCTGTTTATTGTCATTTTGTCAGATCGTTTCTATTTCTTTTCATATAAACATACATAGAAATATGGTTTGATCCACGTTATGTGTTCAATAAATCGGCCTAACTAAGCAAAGCTAACCTTCTATCTATCTATCTATCTATCTATCTATGTCAGTTTTTGTTTCTATCTATCTATCTATCTATCTATCATTTTTTGTTTCTATCTATGTATCTACCTATCTATCGATCTATCTCAGTTTTTGTTTGTTTCTATCTATCTATCTATCTATCTATCTATCTCATTTTTTGTTTCTATCTATTTATCTACCTATCTATCGATATATGTCAGTTTTTCTTTGTTTCTATCTATCTATCTATCTCATTTTTTGTTTCTATCTATTTATCTACCTATCTATCGATCTATGTCAGTTTTTCTTTGTTTCAATCTATCTATCTATCTATCTATCTATCTCAGTTTTTGTTTATTTTTCTTTTTATCTGTCCATCATCCTTCGTCAGCAATTGTTCCTGTTGCTATGTCCTGAGATCCTCGCTGTTGCACAGTATGCGGACGTGCATGCAAGTCACTAGCTGAAGGCAAGTGTCACATACAACGCAAACAAAAAATGAATCACGTTGTCTGTTGTCGATATGTCAAATCAACAGACGAGTCACACATTCACACACACACAAAACCCCAATATACATACATACATACATACATATATATATATATATATATATATATATATATATATATATATATATTACCATAAATATTATTTTATTGAGTACACTTGTTAGAGATTTTGATCCTTAAAAATAAAATATCATCCGGCCTACATTCACCATTTAATAAAATAAGAAGCAGGGATAGAAACACAAACAAGTGGACCGACTAAAAATAACTTTTATAGCGATTAGAAATTATGTCAGATGAAAAAATTCTTTAAGAAAATTCGCTTGTTTATTTTGGGGTACGAAAATGAAGCTAGCAGATAAAGATCTCGTGCTTTGGTTCAATGGGTAAAAACAGCCAATAACTGGCTGCCTGGTCTCAGTGAACGAACAAGCAGAGACACACTTTGGCTCAAAAAGTGCTTTCGCTGATGGAAAAATAGGATGCAGCTTCGATTGCTGTCGGAGGTACTACTTTTCTTTAGTATGATTTCTCAATTCAGACGAGTTGATATTAGTTCAACTCTTCAATAAAATAAAAGTAACAGTGGTAATAAGTCAAACACAAATATCTTCCAATATATATATATATATATATATATATATATATATATATATATATATATATATGATTATTTATTTAAAGATTATAACATAATATGTTATAAAAACACTACAAACATACACATTTTGTTTCAACACCTCCGGTGTCTTATCAAGTGATGATGCTGAATGTAGATTGTAGAGTAAAGGTTTTAAATGGTTCAAATTAATTAACCACCTACAGAGTAGAGCGAATATAATTATTTATTTAAAAATTATAACATAAATATGATTATTTCAAAATTATAACATTAATAAATTCCATATTTGAGCACTCTTTTAAGAATAGTAATTGTTGGTTATTGGAATTTATTCCATATACACCAATCATATACATGTATGGAATAGATTTTGTTCTTGTTTTTACTCTCAGTAATAAGAGGACAACGAAAATAGATGTATTGTAATCCGAAAAATGCTATTCCATACCTGAGAATGTCTGTAGGAACAGACGAAAGCTTGTAAAAATAATAAGAACTTATGCAACTGAAGTTTATAAAACAAGGATCTTTTCATGCATAAACAGGTTCGGGGTTTTTGTATATTATTTGAATTGTTCGCGACGATGGATTAAATGATTAACCTTTGTATTTGTTTTTGTATGAATAATTCACGAATTTGTAAATTAATTGCACCTTTATTGAAATATATATATATATATATATATATATATATATATATATATATATATATATATATATATAGATAGATAGATAGATAATAGCTGGCCACGCGTATTCGAGGCTACCTGTCTACTAGGGCGGCTAGCCAATGCCTAATTCAGACGCTCGCTCAGATTTGTGTTTGTTCAACACCCAAAGAGCCCACATGCTGAGTAGACCTTAGTTACAATTTCTGGGAGAAAGCGTGTTATCAACAATTTGAACAATGCTAGCACACTCAAACCTCGGTCACGATGACTTGTGACTTCGTGCTAGCACAAGTATCTACGGTCCACCAAGTTTCCCATCTACCCAATTTCACTCAAAATGATTCGGTCAACTCGTGGTGTAGTTTCCAGGCACGGTCCAAAGGTGCCGCACGCAGGGATCGTACCCCTCTAGACCGATTACATCAGGAAGTCTCCTTCCTGACAAATCAACCGTGGTGAGATTCGAATCTAAGACAGATAGATAAAAATATATATGTAAATATATAAATATATGAATTGTGCATTAAGTGCTGGTGTTATTGGAAGAGTGATCGATGTTATATAACAACAATAAAGTATGTATATATATATATATATATATATATATATATATATTATGATGCATCATTTGTACTACTCAGAGTTTCATGCCAAACGTAATCTTTAGAAACTGTGAGTAGAGCAAAGGGTGCAGCATAATATATATATATATATATATATATATATATATATATATATATATATATATATATATATATATACCCAAGTATATGATTGGTGTATACGGAATAAATTCCAATAACCAACAATTGCTATTCTTAAAAGAGTGCTCAATACAGAGTAGAAGATAGATTAATTATTTGTTAAAATTATAACATAATATAAAGAGGTAAAATCACTAAAAAATAGCCATTTTTAGCTTTAACACCTCCGGTGTCTTATCAAGTGATGATGCTGAATTCAACATCATTACTTGATAAGACACCAGAGGTGTTGAAACAAAATGGCTATATTTGTAGTGATTTTATAGCATATTTATGTTATAATTTTTAAATAAATAATTATATATATATATATATATATATATATATATATATAATTTAGAGAAGTTTATCACTTAGCTGAGTGGTGAAGTTTCAGTCGTACCTACTGGGTAGTTTCGTGAGCACATCACGAAAGTATGTTCACTTTTCAGGGAACATGTTATCTTGATGTGCTCACAAAACTACATAGCAGGCATGGCTAAATAAACACCACTCAGCTAAGCGATATACTTCAAATTAATTGTACTAACGCTTTATCGTGCACTATATGTTAAAAAATCTACCTGCCTTACTAAAAGTCTTTTTCGACGAGCCAAATGAATCAACAATTCTGGTACTTACTACTATACTATATACCATACCATATATATATATATATATATATATATATATATATATATATATATATATATATATATATATATATATATAAGTGCAGGTATCCAGAAAATAGAAAAGAACACGTTGGGTGCATAATCCGGAGTTCATTAGTATTTTTGTTTTTTATTTTAAGAAGATAGTTCTCCATACAGAAGTAGAGCTTTATTATAATATTTTTTGCTTAAATTCCTAAAATTTCGCTTGAAGATGAAACGGGACTAAACACCTCAATTCAACTTAATTTTAATAATTATTTGATGGTTTCGGCTCTCGTTTTTTTGAAACATGAGAACTCTTATGTAGCGAAGGAATCATATTTTTAAACAAAAATATTATATATATATATATATATATATATATATATATGAGGAATGATTTCATTTCTGTTGTAAGGAAACCTTGTCAGTTATAATCACCACTATTAAACCGGAGTATAAAACAAGTTTCCATCCGAAATATCCTTATATTTGAAAATCGTTGTCACCATCATTAGCTATGAATATTCGGAACGCTCTTCATTACATAGCTTGACCTGTCAGCAATCGGTGTGACCACTGCTGAAACATAACTTCTGTATCTGCTCATATGCAAATGTAATTTCAATTGTCATCTTCTGTCTCTTTGGGACCGTCCTTTTATTGTCCTTTCTCCTCAATAATATTTCTTTTTCCAGACATTTTTTTCTTTTTGATATTAAACACTTCCCCCATGGGGCTTTACCGCCTTGCTTGGGGAGAAATTATAAACATAAATGTATAATCTAGTGAGAGAAGAATTTCCCTATAACTGTGTCGGAAACAAAAATTCTATAACAGAAGAGTTATTGTTTTATCACACGGATATCGGATGGAAATAATTTCAATCTATCGACAAAAATGACTTATAACAATTAAGAGAAGAAAAACATTAATATTTCATGAAAATCATTTCAATCGATCGAAGGACCAATATTTGACTTCTAACAATTAAGAGAAGAAAAATATCAATATTTTATGTGTAAACAAAGTGAACTGATGAAGTCTTTTTAAAACAATTTAATCATTATTCGTATATCGTTGAGAACATTAATCTTGTTAATTGTGTAAAAATTAAATAATAATAATAATAAAAAAGTTATTTCTGTGTCTTTGTAAGATTTTATTATGCGGCCGCCTTAATATCTATCCTGTGTTTATCATTAAATAGCATTAGGGCCGTTTATGCTTTTCATTCTCTCCGATTTGTTCAGTATGGGGAGATAACCTCACTCCGCTAGGTGTCCCTGGTAGAGTTGACGCAGCAAGAAGGTTCATGCACGCCGCCATTTTAAGTCCCAAGACCACCCGGTTTTATACCCTAGACTGGCTGACAAACTGAGGGTGGCGAACACAGTTTGCACCGATATTGAGCATGAGAGAGGGACTCATACAATGCACCAATAGCATTTATACGAACATGTACACAACAGACTTTGAACTTTTAGCACCGATAACCTTAATAATACCATCTCTTCTTAATAATACACTATTTACATTATTTAGACTATTGTCCTCATCTTAGTTCCCATATTTACAACGTTTCGGACGTTGTACTCACCGGCCTTCTTCAGGTGGTTGGAATGTCAAACTGAACCCTTTATTTCGCTTGCTGGGGTAGACTGTTCTAGTTCCACGTGCCATGTCTAATGGATGTCAGTTATCAGTTATCTCCTGTTAATTACACTTCTCCAAGTTCTCCACCGCCTTAACCAGGTATTGAACTCACAACTCAACCAACGACTTTATCCACTGTGCTATGTGTCCTTAAGGGCTTCTGTATATGAATTTCTGAGACTTATAAACTTAATGTCTTCAGTAACCATTTTTACCAGTGCTCATATTGCAATTTTTGCTGTTATCATTGCATTTTTTTTTTTAATCAGAGATCGTATTGCAGTTTTGGTTGTTATTACTGCTTTTCTCTGGCACTCCTTATTACTGCTTCCCATGTTGTATTCATTTCTATGCTTGGTCGGCTCAGGAGATAAATATGGCAATAAAGATTGTTGAAACTTGACTAATGCATGGAATAATAATGCAACACAAAATGTACTTAGAACAAAATGTATTGAAACAAGAAAGTGTACACAATATTTACATATAGTCTTTTGTATATTCCTGGTAAGACCGTTCCTGGAGAATGTGTTGACTGAGTCGCAGTTGGGCAGAGTCTCTGGTTGAATCTCTTGATTCCTCCCTCTCTTCCCGGTACCAACCATATTTATATGGTCGGTACTCCACTATGCAAATTAGGTGGATCCTACCACAACAAAGATGAAGACAATAGTCCGAATAATGTAAATAGTGTACATTATACCTCATCTCAGAAATGTAGACAGATACACCTTAATAATATTTTTCTTTTTCTAATATACTTCCAAAATTAGTAACGACTTGTGTCGTATTGACTTTGTTGCCATTCTTGGGGTGAAATAATAATTTCAGAATAAATACATGTAAACTCGGTAAAATAAGTAAAACAATAGTTAATTAAAAGCTAAAGAAGATTCTAGTAGTAAATCAGTGAAAAACCCGGAAACAGCTATAGACTGGTTTAGAAACCTAAAAACAAATATAATTGCCAATTTATACACCTAGATATAAAATAATTCTAGAATTCCGTAACAGATTCAATTTTAGATAAGGCCATCAATTTAGGCCAGAATCAAATAAAAATAAACACAAAGGAAATGAAAATCATTAAACACTGCCGAAGATCACTACTATTCGACAATGAAAACGCATTGATAAAGAAAGAAGGGATCTTTGACGCTACATTAGGGGGGCTTTGATGGTGCAGAGACCTGCGAACTGATAGCTATATATTTGCTACACGAACTAAGTAAAATAAGAGACAGAAATGATAGAGGACTCTACAGGGACGCCGGTCTCATAATCTTAAGAAACTCTAACAAGCAAAACACAGGCAAAACAAGAAAATCATTCACAAAGATTATTAAAAATATTGGATTCGACATAGACACATAAAACAAACCGAAGCAAAGTAGATTTTCTAGATGTCACCTTCAATCTAAGAAAAGGTACATGCAAACCATATAGAAAAAACAATGATAAACCACTGTATATACACAAAGCTTCCAACCACCCGCTATCAATAATCAAGCAGCTATCATAA